TGTTTAGTGTCTTTTTACCCGACGTGACCCCATCTTTTATATTTTACCAAAAAATTGGGTAATAATAAATGTTTTATCATTTAATATAGGGGAAACTGTTTTTTTTTTTTAAATTTCGGTAATTTTTCCTTAATATAGTAAAAAAATAAAACCCCCAGTGGTGAATAAATACCACCAAAAGAAAGCTCTATCTGTCCCCAAAAAAGGGTATAAAATTCATTTCAGTACAGCGCTGCATGACGGAATAAATGTCAGTCAAAGTACCGCAGCGCTGAATACTGAAAAATGGCCTGGATGGGAAGGGGGTTTAACACCGCGGATGTCAACTGGTTAAAGGCACAGAGACGCACGAGGGATCCCGCACATCACAAGGCAGCTGAGACCCCCCCATGCATCACTGCGCCAAATCAGTCAAGCAAAACAAATGGCAAACGCACTCGAGTGCGTTTGCCATTTGTTTTGCTTGAAAGAGATGGGAAACCCCAAATTTTGAGTTACGTAAAAGTCCTGTAGAGCGTTGTGTAGCAAGAAGTCCAGGAGCCAATGACAGCTTAGCCTGAACCCACAGGATTCTCTGTGCCATTTGAAAATGGTGCTGAGACAAATAGCCGCTATTCCAGTGCCATTTTAAAACGGCACCTGGGACTCAAGTGGTTAATAAAGTCCAGTAGTCTTGTGGTTAGTACTCTTTACCCGCGACATTCTGCTCTATCTAGGCAGCTGCAGCACCTTGCATGCTAACCATGAGTCCTCCTGCGCCTGCCGATGGCCAGCCCTTTGCATGGTGTGGTTGGTGGACTGTTGTCCTAGTCACTGCATAACAACAATATGATCGTTCCTGGTATTCCATTCACAAATGAGCAGCTTCTAGTCTTTGCCATAGGCATTGTGGCAGCAGAGGCATGGAGCACTGCATGCATTGTACAGTGAAAGCACTGAACCCAGCGGTGACAGTGAGCGACAGATATTCGCTCTGCATCACAGTCCAGACACATGTATTTCAACTGTGTACTTACTTGTTTGCCTACATTCTCATTGTAATATTATTATGAATCGTCATTAACTAATCTGTTTTCTGATTGGTGGATGTTCTCTGCTCACTGTATCTTTCACTTATCACATTCCTGACAAAGAGATCCTGTGTGGCCTCAAACTATTGCACAGGCACTTTTTGTAATGTGATCACTTTAAATACATTTTTAGACTTTTGAATAAGGACCTGTGGTATGCTGGCAACATCATCCACTCTATATTGTTGTCCTTGTGATACCAGTCAACCATGCTGCCGGTTGCTACAGGACCCCCTCACTTCAGGCCTTGTCCAGGAATGTGTGGGATGGGAATATTTTAAGGGAGAGGGAGCTTGGATAGGCAACAGCTGCAGGGTTGTGGTCTGCCAGCATGACAGATGAATGAGTTCATGGGAGTCTGCCAGCATGAAAGGGTAATGGGAGTAGTAGGGAAGACAAAAGTCATAAGGAGTACAGGTGAGGGGAGGAGAGAGCAATGATGTAATGCTGTAAGCAGCATGAAGATTTGACAGGGCACAGGGGTGTGGGGGTAGGAACATGTAATATTTTCAGGACGGATAGGAAGAGCCAGAGCATACAGATGAGTTGACAGGTGGTTGGTTGCTGAAGTAAGAGCTCTGGCAAAACATGGGAGTACAGGGGAGGGAAAGGACCGTGATGGAGGGGGAAGTTGGTGAGGCATCAGCTCCAGTGGTATACCACCAGGATAATAGGAGTAGAAGTGAGGGTGAAGCTGTGACTTAATGGGTGAAGTGAAGAGGGGTGAAAGGTGGAGATGTTGATGACAGCATCAGTTTGATCTGACAGCATCTGGGCAGAAGACATAGTGATGGGGGTAGTATGTTTGACTTAAAGGGCCAGAATCAGTTGATCACGGGTGCAACGCACAGGCTCCTGCTGACTGTTCCCCCAGCCCCTGTCCATACGTTCTGTTATGGAGCTAGAGGAATTTATCAATGGACTCCCAAGTGTGGTGATGTCACCTCACTGATACTCCATTGGGGCCTAGAGGCAAACTTTGAATGACATGGCTGTACGGGTTAGGGGCTTTGGAATGGAACCATGTTCCATGGTACACTCTAAATATGGGTGGAACATGGCGTTAAAGGTGCAATTAGCCTTTAAAGAGAGACTTCAAGGACACATACCCACCAATGCATGTGCATTACCATATGTGCACACATGAATGGGCCCTAAAGGTTTTACAGACAGGAGGCA